TGGATTGAGTAATCTGATATAGTTTAGTGATTGGTTAGCTGGGAGTAGTTTTTTTTTTTAAAATATGAAACAAGTCTCTACATTGTCTTCTTAAATTAATTATAACAAAACAGCACGAGTATGTTAAAAAACAATGCTACAATTCACAATAGATGTATATGTTTTCTATAGCAGTAGAACGTTTTTTTCGCTTCTGGGATTTTTTTCCAACTATCCTCAAAAATGACAAGTATCACAATAGGAAATTTATTTTTTTCTCTTAAAGTGTTTCCATTAAAACGTGTTCGTTGTTAGTTATTTTATTTTAGAAAAACCGTTTTATGTTGAAATCATCCAGCAAAGCTATAAAGACTGAAAGATATGAGAGAGAAAGAGTGAAAGGGGGGGGGGGGTGGGAAGATAGAGAACTGCCATTAACACTTGGAACGTTATTCACGATTATAATTTTTTTTACGATGTCGCAATATTTTTTTAATTGATTTCAAATAAAAGTGTTTTGTTTCATGTCCTTTAAAAAAAAAAGAAAGCGTATTTTAAAAAAATACAGATGTCTTTGTGTTGTGCTTATAAAGTCATACTATAGCTGGTAAGTCGATTTGTAAGTCATACTATAATTAGCAGAGTCAGTGAGTCACATATTACCCGCCATGAGGTAGAGTCACCAGCAGAAAATCCCACGAGCAAACTGAGCATAGTCAACATCTAACAGTTACTAACACATAAGCAAACGTTATATCAAACAAATTTCAAAATAAAATACGATTTTAAATGAAATAATATTCGCATTAATGGAGCTTTGATAACAAATTCTATTTTTCTATTATTCATAAAACATTTCTTTTTTTTTTTAAAGATTGTTTCATAAAACACGTACTGATGACGTAAAACTAAGATTCCGCCAGATTTTCTTCGCTGCTTTCGTCATAAACATTTTAAAATACTTACAAAAATTGCGCAAGTGTATATAAAGAAAAAAAAAAACAGCAATTTAAAATACAAACACTTAATGACGTTTTGTAATAAGCATTATTAACTGGACAACCCCCCCCCCCGCCCTAACATTAGCATTGGCGAAGCGTACATATAAGCTATATTTATATATATATATATATATATATATATATATATATATATATATATATAATATATATCAAATAATATATGTCAAATAATATATAGTCGTATCACAGCATTTAATTAAGGCAAGGCCTATCCCTCTCTGACATAGAGAAGTCCATACCTTGTACACATACACATGTGGGTAATAAACAACCATAATATTAGTGAACTGATCCACCAAAGATAATCGGGTAATCTAATTGTTAATTGGTTTCTGGCTTGTTGGTAAAATTAGATTCTACTATGTATTAATATAAGTTCTTGTGTGTGTGTGTGTGTTTGTTGGGGGGGGGGGGATGAGCGTGTACCAGGTGTTTAATTTCATTTATTCCTACAGATCTAATCACTGCATTTGACGTACAAACACGGCTTTGTTCTGAAGATGTCATATTTTAAATTAACAGTAGCGCACGCTGAAACACGTGTCTACCACTGCGCATAGCCATAGGTCTAACTGTAAATATATGGGCACAGGCTCATGAATGGGAATGTGTATATTTTAAATGTATATTTCAGGATAGCTAGATATTCTGTTCGCATATGCTGGTACTTCAGCTGTTCATGTTATAACAAAAGATTATATAATAAACGTTTTATTTATATATTTTATATCTAGTGGTTTTTAAAAGATGAATACACAATTTATGAAAA